GCTTCAGAAGGACATTAATGCAAAAGCAAAAAATATAATCATCTTAGGTTTAAGATGAAAAGAAAATATGACTTAGAGATGTGTATAATTAGGCTGACTTTGGGTTCACCTGACTTAATCAGATGCATTTACATAAGACATGTTCTTATATGTATAAAATACAGGATTCTTGAGATTATTAACTTGAAGTAAAGATTTGATGCTAAAGATCAAAAATCAAAAAATTCTAGAAACTGTTAACTAGTTGACTAATAATTTCCTAGTAAATTTAAACTTTATGTTGAATATCTTTTAAGAATATTATATAATATAAATGTTTGCATTAATGGTAATAATTCACGATTTTATACTTATATTTAAATGTATGTTTAATTACTCAGCACAAATGGTCAATATACATGCATATTAAACTCACCAATGGAAAGGTCAATGATGTAAATGACAATTTTTTTTTAAAAGATAGAGAAAGGTTGTTAGTTGAAGGGAAAGAAGCAGAGAGAGCTAGACACTTTTTGGCAGAATAGAAAAAAAAGAATAACACTCATTAGGATTCTCAGCAAGGGTTGGACATCACAAAACTTCCTGGACTCCAACACCTGAACTTAGGCAAGGGAGCTCGAGCTGGTTTAATCATGCTCATTATAAAGCTGCAGTCCCTGTCCCTGTGTGCATCTCACCCGAAAACTAATGAGCGTTGAAGGCAGTTTTAAACCTCCTACTTTGCATCAATAATTCAAGGCCTGGAGGCAGCTCCACTTTAAAAGATTCCAAATCCGTGAGCCTCATTATCAGGTCTTAAACTGTGCACCGCTCCAAGGAAGTGGATTGAGTAAACATGATCTCAGCCACTTATAAAAAGGCAGAGTTGCGCTTTAATTACTCGGAAAGCATCTGAGTTTTCACATATCTAGGAGACAAGCTGTTCAGAAGAGGCAACACCGTGATAGTTTCCGAGCAGATCCCCCCCATAAAATATGGGTCACTTGAGTTCAGAGAGATGTAGGGAAAAAAAATTTAAGATGAGGAGGAAGATAACTTCTTTTTATGTCTCATGACACAGGAATGATCAAATCTGTGGCACTCAAATGTCAGATAGTTAGTTAGCTAGTTGTGATAGATGCAGAGGGAAAGCTAATTAAAGAGAGAGTACTATAGGGTTAAGAGAGGGCTAGATAGATGTCTAGATAGATAGATAGACAGATAGATAGATAGATGTCTAGATTTCTAGATAGATAGATTTCTAGATGTCTAGATAGATAGATAGATGGATTCCTAGGTGTCTAGATAGATAGATAGATGTCTAGATAGATGTCTAGATAGATGTCTGGATGGATGGATGGATGGATGGATAGATGGATTCCTAGATGTCCAGATAGATGTCCAGATAGATGTCTAGATAGATAGATAGATAGAGTCTAGATGTCTAGAAAGATAGATGTCTATATAGATAGATGTCTAGATAGATAAATGTCTAGATAGATAAATGTCTAGATAGATAGATGTCTAGATGGATGTCTGGATGGATGGATGGATGGATGGATAGATAGATTCCTAGATGTCTAGATAGATGTCTAGATAGATAAATGTCTAGATAGATAGATGTCTAGATAGATGATAGATAGATGTCTAGATAGATAGATAGATAGATAGATAGATAGATAGATAGATAGATAGATAGATAGATAGATAGATAGATAGATAGATAGATAGGATAGATAGGATAGATAGATACTGTAGATAGCTCACACGCTGACGCATCTTACAATATATCTAAGCAAGCCAGTCATTGAACTAAACTACAGTTTGAGCCATGCTCTGCATGCCTTCTGGCAGAATAACCTTGATCATTACCAATGCAGAAATTGCAAAGACTCCTAATAACTTGGCACACGCCCAAGTAATAAAACCTGACATTGTTGCAGTGTGACTATGAACAATGACTAAAGTCTTAATCATATTTATAGACGTAATCACATTATAAATCAGAGACGCCAACACAAACACAGCAGCACATCTAAGTGTTGTGTTATGAAACCTAAGTGCCATCAGTGCTGGATAAAGTAGAAGTAAAGCCAGGTTAATTAAGCATTACAGTATGGCATGTATCTACATGAGCTATTTTTCATGTGAATGATCCTTTAGGAGATGGTCCAGAGAGTAACCATGAACCGAGAATATAATGAAAAAGAGTCACTGATGATACCGAGGCAAGGTTCCTTTTTTTTTTTTAAGTAAAACAAGCTTTTGAAAATCTTCTAGGCATTTCATTCTGGACTTGAGATGCACTTAAGAGTTTTCAACTCATACTTTTTTATTAAAAGGATAAAAAAAAATATTCTGTCAATATTTACTCACCCTATTGAACCATGTTGTCGATCCGAGGAGATGTTGGCAGAATGTCCAAGCTGTGTCCGTTTTAAATATTAAAAGATGAGGCAATACAGGAGAGAAAACGATTTAATTGCTATTTAATTTGGAGCAACAGTGTGAATCTCTGTCCATTTTGCAATGCATACAAACGAGCAGCTTGGGTTTTCTGAAAAACATCTCCTTTTGAGTTTTATAGAATAAATAACATCATACAGAGTTTTGATAAAGCGATGTGTGCAGGTAATGACATAATTAATTGGGTATTAGATATAACTAGTCCTTTAAAATTTGCTATAAATAACAGTCATTGTGCTATAATTAATAAAACAGTCACCAATTGGTGTCATTTCGATATATATCCTTTTTCTTTCTCAAACTCAGAAGGTAGTCAAACCGACATCATTAAAGCCTTATTAAAAAACCCTTCAAAGATCTCCAATTTGAAAATGAAACCCAGAGGAACTGTTATCTCGCCCTTCCTGAGGCTCTTGAATGACTCTGATATCTTCTTAATGCACCATCTGAGAGTTTTGAGATGATTTTCAAATGGCACATTTAAAAAAAAAGAAGTAGTTTGAGCCAGTTTTAAAAAATTCAATCAGATAGTTTTATAAAACATCTTCAAGGACACCTCAGAACCTCACTTTTCAATTTTACAGTTTGACGCATTGCTAAACAACAAAAAAATCCTTTTATCCCTTTTCTAAAGTTCAAATCTTCCTTTTTTTCTAACCACTCCATCCAACTCTTCTTCGTGCTTCATTACATTAAAAAAAGGCTCCTGACTTTCTAAAAGATAAGACAGGGTCGAGGTCAAATCACCACCATGGCAACCATGACTATGTTAAGTGACTGTTATGCACAGGGATGAAGAGGCATCGGGTACTTCAGTTCTGGAGTGCTGGTGGATGAGGGAAGCATCCTGGGTTTCCTATCAAATTCATACAGGCCAAACTATTCTAAAAAACAACACTGTCAAATATTCCATATGAACTTATTCTGGGAGGAATGATGCATTTCAAACTACTTCCAAGTTCTCAACATCCCGATGATGTTGACTTTGGTCTGAAGTACAGTATTTTTAGCTGCACAGACAATATCCAGAAATAATTTAGAGATTATGCTAGTGCGCTTGACTTTTCCCTATCCGTAGAGTGCATTACAAGAGAACACAAAGTTCAAAAGAATGCCTCTCTGACATATATACACATAAAACGCTTCAGGCAACCAAACACTTCTGGGAGACTATAAGGATGAGAACTTCAAAACCATAAAGGTTATTGTTCTGCGTCACACGCTTGGTGCAAAAAGAGGCTCTGAGAATATTTGTAATCATACTATGGGCTGAAGCATATGAAGCACCTTTTTGAAAGTGAGAGTTTTGTGAAATTATATAACCATCTTTGCACTTCAGGCTTCCTTCAACTGTTTGATGTATGAAAGTCATTACATTTCGACAGACTCCACATCCACTTCATGAAGTTGATTAATTGCCGTACTTGCCTACTTTTGAGTCAGACAAAGAAAAATTTCAAACAGACCATGTTTAACTCTACTCTCCTTTTGGCTAATTTCATGCGTGTACATACAGTAATTGAAACCCCAGTCTATGCTCAAACTGTTGATCTACTTTCATCTTTTAACATGTCCTTGTCATTTCTCTTTTCCTATGCCTCATCTACTGCGATTTCCTTTGTTAAGCAGCGACAGCCAATCATAATTGACCTTTGCACCTTTAGAGTCATTTGTATGCTGGTTGCTCATAGACCTTTAAAGACAAAAGAAAAGAAAACACCAGTCTCCATTTAGCTGTAAAGGTTGCTGGAATTAAGGTCAAATAATGACGTTATTTTCATCCAAAACATTTCGCACCTTCTGTTCGTATGTTTTACTGTGGCAAATGCAAGAGGACCTAAATTACGGGTATTGTAATAAACTCCTACGGTCTGTTCATTCCACCACGCCATGCCGGATTACTCTCATTTGCCTCGCTACACTGAAATATCAAACACACGTAGAGCACACTGCAAACGATGACCCGAATCAATTAGCCGTGCCCTAAAATCCAATCCTGCTACACGGAAAGCCACATTAACTAAAGCCATCTAAAATAAACATCATCATTTTCTGTTTAGATGGGGCATCAGTTATACTTACAGTTGGTCAGAAGAAACACAATATGGAATGTGTTAAAGGGATACTCCACTTTTTTGGGAAACAGGCTCATTTAACAACTCCCTCAGGGTTAAACGTTTTACCGTTTTACCGTTTTTTAATTCATTCAGCCGATTTTCTGATATTTAGAAGAATATCAGAGACCAGACAGTTTCTGGTCTCATTGACTTCCATAGTAGGAAAAAAAATATACCATGGAATTCAATGAGACCAGAAACTGTCTGGTTACTGATATTCTTCTAAATATTCGAAAACGGTAAAACTCAACTGTAAAATGAGCCTATTTCCAAAAAAAGTGGAGTATCCCTTTAAGAACATGGTTTTACCAAACTGAAAGGGTACTAAAACAAAACTTAAAGTCTCTGACAGGAATATTGGTGTCTTTTGAAAGCTCCTCACACTCTGGTTGACTTTTGCAGGATGTGAAAGGAAACAGAAGCTGCTTGGATACTCACCGAGCTGACTCTCAGAGGGAGGTTTGTCAGCGTCATGGATCTGAGAAGAGAAATTGAGAGAAAGACAACATTAGAGGCAGTTTTTACAAATGAACCACAAGTAAATAAAAGTCCAACCTAGAGGCACTCATAACATCATTCGTTTTGACAAAAAAATTCAGCACTATTAAAGCATGCCAATACGTACAACTTAAACACTAAGGGAGAGAGGTGTATGAGACAGAACGTATCCCAAGACTAAATAAACTGCAAACTAATGGTTATTCTAAATGTAAAGTGGTCATCAAGTCCTCCTGGGAAGTTCTTACTGACAATACCAGATATGTAAATTGCAATGCAATGGGCATCTAGGGCAAATGTAAGTTTATTTATTTGTTTGCTTTCAAATAACTTTTGTAGGCAACACAAAATATTGAAATTTAGTGGGGTCAAAAAGTCTGTCATTACATCGAAAATCAGGGACTTAAAATGGAATTTAAAACAAAAATATAAACAATAATCTTTTAATTTATTAATATTACAATGAAATGTATAATTTCTAAATGAATTCATGATATATGAATACCATTTAATACTACATTACATTTAATATTTCGGCTTTCATTATCTTTGTCTTTCTTCACATAAACATTAACAAAATCAAAAAGTTGAGCCGGGAAAGTTTACAAAATTGGTCTGACTTGACATGAAGGGTTGCCCAGGGCTGTGCAGGACAGTTGAGTCGATTGGCAGGAGCAGGATTGGGCACCCCTGCCCAACACTTTTGCCATTTATTATATTTCCTCTGTTATTCCTGTATTTTTTTACAGGATTTCCTGTATTCTGTAAGTCATGTATTATGTAAGTCAAATTACCATCAACCACAAATAAAAGAACATCTCAAGTTTCCCTAATGGTAATTATGACATTGTGGTTCTGTTTGTGCAAATCTCTTAAACATGATCATTTCGACATGAAGCCAGAATCAGTCTTCCTGTGTGCTTAAATTAGGCGTTCAATTAAATTTCTAAAAGAACATCAAAATGTGGACAGGATCCTTTTGGTTATTTGAACTAATAAATCATGATTCACAATGTCATTAGTTCACTGCAAATTGTGTGGTTTCGGTGCCCGGAGCTGATGCTGTTCTCACCCCGAGTGCTCAGCTCAATTAGGGTATTAGGAAGCTCATTCTGCCACCAGAGCTGTCAGTGCTACCAGCCGACTGTGGAGGAAAGAGCGAATCGATCAGAGTTCCTGTTGCGAGCCTTCCCCACTCAAACCAAATCTCACCTCCTCAGGGACATGAAGAGAAAAGGGAGCAGCCTTCAATGCTCTCCCTACTCATATTGTGGTATATTAGAGGATAAAGAGGAAAAAAGGGGATGGCTTTTGATTTATTGCTACCACTCTGCTAACAATTACTCAAGGCCTGAGCTCCAAGCAGCCCTTCGAGAAACAAGTCATATATCTTTACACCGGACAAAGTGTGGCACATCATTACAGTGAGAGGGAGAGGCTGAATCATCAAGGTGACGTTGTGAATCATGGCACGGTTAGAGGTTCAACCCGAAGAGGGGAAAAACATTGATTCTGAAACCCCAAAGGACCGGCAAACTCAAAGACAGGGACTTGTTGAGATGGAAGAGCCACCTCCAGTTGTATAATTGACCCTGAAACAAATACACAATGGAAGTGTGCAACTAAAAGAAGTGCTGTGGTTGGAGGTCTGGTGAATTCCAAAGCTGTCAAAATAATAAATACATATAAATGTTTTGTGTGTATGAAATTATTTATAGTAATGTAATATTTATAATAATATAATTATAAAAAGTTGAATAATAGTGTTACTTGTAAACCTGATCCTAATTAGGACATACAAACTAAATAAACTAGAGTTTTAAATGTCAATCAGTCATTTTTTTTAATAGAGAAATCAAAATATCCTTCATCTTTTGACATATAAGGGGTTATTTGACTGTAAAAACATCCTTTCAGAACTCAAAACTTGTTAATCCAAAACCAGCTGGCAGCTTTTATTGAAACCATGGTCAAAAGATGAGTTGTTTCGGATCGTGTCACATTATTATGTTATAGTGCGACGAAAGACTGCCTCTGCAGAAGATGATCAATGCTTATTTCCAAATCATTACTTCTTTAGCCCTGCCCTGCCCACTGATTCACACGTTATGTAGTAAATTCGAGATACACAAACACAGGATTACTCCAGCAAAAAAATCATAGAGAGGCCTCTGATGAATACAAGATGTTTTAAAGTGCCAGAAAAACACAGTCTTTGCACTGCAGTGCAAACACCATACAAAAGTGAATTTTGCATCCGATGACCCCTTTTAATGTTAGGATCACAACTAACCTTAAAAGGGGTCATCGGATGCATAATAAATGTATCTTTGCAGTGTGTGGAAACAACCCCCATACAATGAAAAAAAATCCATTCACTCCTTTTTTTAATCCTCAAAAAAAAAAAAAAATAAACACTCTCAATAATTAATCCATTTGGATTTTTCTGAGCAATATGCCATCATACTTTACGGCAGCACTTTACATGTTGTGTCCACACCCCCCACGGAAGAGAGGGGTGGGGTGAGCAGTTGCTCATTATCATTTAAAGAGACATGCACCGAAACAGGGCGTTGTGAACAGAGCTGTTTTTAAAAGGAGTAGTTCACTTTAAAAAAAAACTTTTGCTGATAATTTACTCACCCCAATGTCATCCAAGATGTCCATGTCATTCTTTCTTCAGTCGAAAAGAAATTAAAGTTTTTGATGAAAACATTCCAGGTTTTCTCCATATAATGGACTTCATTGGGAACAAAACGGTTCAAGGTCCAAAAGACAGTTTTATTGCAGCTTCAAAGGGCTTTAAACGACACCAGACGATGAATAAGGGTCTTATAGCGAAATGATCGGTCCTTTGAATGATCGACTGAAGAAAGAATGACATGGACATCTTGGATGACATGGGGGTGAGTAAATTATCAGCAAAAGTTTTTTTTTTAAGTGAACAACACCTTTAAGGAGGTAGAAAAGGTGTTGTTTTACACAACCATTGCAGAAGTTTAACCAAAGTATGTTACAAACTTTACATGAAGACCCTAAAGAATCATACCACCTGGTGGAAAATGGGCATCTGATGACTGAAGTTCCAGTCAGAACACGTGAGTAAGACTGTTGTTCGTATTTGTTCGCTTCTTTTTACTGCAGATTCAAAGTTCGTCACAGGCTTTTCAGAGAGACTGAAAATTAAAGTTGATGCAGTTCCGACTATATTAGAATCGACAGCAATGTTGCAACACACAAATGTGAGTAAACATTATTTTTACCATGTTTCACTACTGCTCTGTCCGTTACAGATGATTTGATATTTGAGTATTTATACTGTAGTTCTGCAGTTAAACTGTGAATAGATGCGATATGCTGTGATTGGCTGTTTTTTCCTTTGCTTCGTCATTTATGGGGTTAATGGGGGAGATTGCCGGATACGGAAGAAAGAACGTAGAGGACGCTGCTTTTGTTATTGTTTTGATCTAAGCCATTCGCTGTAATCCTTAATGAATAGCCTGATGAATAGCCTATAAGAATGACAAGGTGACTAGCAATGGCACATTCATTCATAATTCCATTTACACAAAACACTAAGTCATCCTTTGTCAATTATAACTGTGGTAACTCTAAGTCCTTAAACTTTATTTGTCACAACCGAGACTTAACCAAAACATATACAAGACGCATAAATGTTTCACATTGTTGGCCTATGTTTCAACAATCTAACTAGATATTTTTCAACATAGGACGATTTTTTGAAATATAAATGGCAGGCCATTGAAAATTATTTTAAAATGTAAAACTGTTACCCAATCATAGCAGTGGGCTTAAGTATTGGATGTGGCATGCCCATCAAAACAGTGTGTTTCAAAGAGAGGGTAAAAAAAAGGATAGAAAATAGCATATTACTTCTTCTAAATGTTTTTTGATGTCAAAATCCTGATAATATTATAAGTGGCCCTCAGAGAACATTATAAATGAAAAGAAAAATTAATGACCTCTTCAAATAAGTGGGTTCTGGCCAGAACAAAACCCTGCTTCCTTCCTCACAAAAGATTTTCAAAATTATATATTTTCCAAATCGACTACTCAGTGGGCTGTCTGAATGACTAGTTGGGCAGAAAGCCCTGTATAATTAGGCTGGTCTTTGTCCAGCACACACTATCAGACGTCCTTCAGTGGAAAAATGGATGCTGAGTGCAGACATCAAATAGGTTAACTGACAGATATTGAACAAATATAGGCAAACTAATAATTATAACATTTTATTAATTATAACCATAGTCCTCACACCAACAAAAAGCATATCCTAGAGACCATATATAATAAAAATCGGCACACACAATTGAAATCTGACCGTAATTTTCTTTTCTAAAAAAAAAAAAAAACAATGTTAGCAACTTCTTGGAGAGGATTAAAGGAGTAGTTCACTTTAAAAAAAAAAAACCTTTTGCTGATAATTTACTCACCCTGTGTCATCCAGGATGTCCATGTCTTTCTCTCTTCAGTCGAAAAGAAATTAAGGTTTTTGATGAAAACATTCCAGGATTTTTCTCCATATAATAGACTTCATTGGGCAACAAACAGTTCAAGGTCCAAAAGACAGTTTCAGTGCAGCTTCAAAGGGCTGAACAAAATGAATAAATCTTTTTTCGAGTCATTTGGTTCATTCAACAAACTAAATGACTCGAAAAAAGATTCGTTCATTTTTAAAAACGAGTTCGAACAGGAGAGTCACGAACGTGCATCACAGAACAGAGCAAGGCGAGCATTTGTGCTTATAAAACTTAAACTTTTTTATTTATTTTTGAAATGACCGATCGTTTCGCTTGATAAGACCCTTATTCATCGTCTGGTGTCGTTTAAAGCCCTTTGAAGCTGCACTGAAACTCTCATTTGGACCTTGAACCATTTGGACCCATTGAAGTTTCATCAAAAACCTTAATTTCTTTTCGACCGAAGAAAGAAAGACATGGACATCTTATATGACATGGG